ACCTATTTCACTGAAACAACCCATGTAGGGTGCTTAACATAATACCCTATGAAGGGTTAATGCTGTTAATGCTGATAGTACTGGGAGTCCACGGGGAAACCACCTTGGAAAGCCAAGCAAATGGGTCTGAAGGGGAATGTCTAAAGTGAGCAGTGATGTGGTCAGAGTGTTTTAGAAGGACCACTTCTCAGAGCCCAGGGAAGGGTGGTGAGAGGTGAGGGGAGCCAGGGCAGGGCAGGGTGGGATACAAGGAGAAGTTGCCCTCTGACAGTGGGGAGAGAGTCTGGGATAGCTCCAAGGTCTTTCTAGTTTGAAATGGCCACGGGTAACCACAGGATCTCAGGTAGATGGATGCTGAGAGCCAGTGTAAAGGTCACGAGGTTGGTGGGGGACCACAGGGCCTTGGATTCAGGGTCGTGGGTCAACAAGAGAAGTGAGCTCTGGCTGGGACCACAGGTGGTGAAGGCACCGGCCTTTTGTCTTCAAGCTTTTCCCAGGGTCTGGGGAGCAATGTGGGTGCAGAAGGGGACCCAGACCTCCTCCTCGGCAGTAGCGATGCTTGTACCCGTTGGACAGAGCGGGCAGCTCGTAGGACTGTGTTTGAAGGAAGGGTTCTGCTGCGAAAGTGGTTTGGGAAGCCCCACGTGAGGCTTGGGCGACAGAGCTTGCTAGGCAGGGTGGGCTGTGCGGCATCCAGACAGCCGCGCTCGGTGTGGGGCGGCCACGGCGGCGGCGGGGACAGCGCCCGTCCTGAAATCAGCATCCAGGGACCAGTGTGCAGTCTCACGATCGCTGTTGAGGTGCAGCATGATCCCACCCGGGTCAGCAAAGTCATCTCAGATGGCTCTTACGGGAGGGCCTCTCAGTCCACTCGCCTAGCCAAGCGCGGCGCCAGGGCACGCCCATGGGAGCCGCGACCCGGCGGAGTGGGGAACGGTGTCAGTGAGCGCGCGAGGGGAGGGCAGCGGGGGCAAACAAGCGGGGCAGGGTCCACTCGCGGCGCCGTCGCCGCTTTAAGAGCCGGCCCGGGGCGCACGCGCAGTGGGACCGCTGCGCGCGCAGGCGCAGAGACGGCAGCGGATGTTTACGGCGGCCGAGGTCGTAGCGGCGCGCCAGTGCTGCAGACGCGCGGGGGACGCTCCCCGGAGCTGCCGGTCGCGGCCGAGGAG